CCCCAAAACCCCAAAACCCCAAAACCCCAAAACCCCATGAAGCAATCATATTATAGCAATTATTGCATTTATAGTTGTTAATATATAAATTTGAATTATTAATTCAACTTTGAAAATATGAATCAGACTCCCCCTTATGATTTTTCTCTGGCTGAGACCTCTTCTCTAGCCAAGATTAACAGCCAGCATAATCCCTCCTGGATTAACCTTCGAAGTATCAAAGACATCATCCGCATGTCGAATGAGAGGACTGGCAACTACGACAGCCTGCCTCCCCTTTCCAGCAATCATGCCATGTCAAATAGATCTTCTACTCATGGCAATAGTTAATAGATTAATAGAAATTCCTCATCACATTCTAATCTATTCCGCATTTCTAATTCAATGAGTTTGCAGAATATTCATGACTACTCTGACGATAATCAACTTTAGCCACACAGCCACATAGACACGCCATAATCGGTGATTAACAATGAGGCCAAAGAAATAGAATGCATTATCTAGGAGTAGTAGCAATTTTTACTTGAAGAAAATAACTAAAATACTATTGATGAAAGCTACTTATAAAAATACTAAGAATCAGCATCATATGATTCAATATAAGACCAATCAGCTAAGCAGTTCAAAAGGCAAAGAGTTGACTCACAGTCTAAGCAATCTCACAGAGAAGAAAAGTCTGAGCAAGCACTCGCATCTGCATTTAACACTGCTGAAATATTAAAAGCATCAAACCATACTCATAAAAATAGTTGCTAGACATTTAACCATCATAGAAAATAATCATAGCTCATTGATCTAACCAAGAGATCTTATGACGATTTCCAGTCTGACAAATAACTCCCCGTGCTCCTGAATTAAGACTCAGACTGCGTTTCTTATCAAACAGAAAACAAAGAAAATGAAAACCCTTAGAAAAATTCGCAGAATAAATTCAAGAGCAAGAGATAACGCGGACTTAATGAACAACCCCCTAAAATATAATAGATATTCTTGTAATAACAGATTGAAGAGGAATAGCTGACTGATGAACAGTAGGAATCTATTTGCTTAAGAATCGTAGATAAGGAATTCAACCAGTTCTGTTAGAAAATTGAGAAAATGCAGAGTCAGAATAATCCACCCACAACTAAGAGCTTACAAGACTTCAAAAGATTTAGACAGTAAAACACTAGGAGTGTGGAAAGATAAGATGAATCATAGTGTACTACACCAAATAACAAGAATATTGCCATTTCTCAATCACTAGACCTATCAAAAAGTCCATCATCAGATAACAGTTCAAACGCTTCAAATTAAAAGTCTCAATAAGATGTGAGATAGCAGAGTCCCATCATATAAGAAAATGATAATAAGATGTAGTAGTCTTTTAAAAGATCAAAGCAACCATTTAGAATCAATTTAGTCGATCAATAGGTAGAATAATAAAGTAGCTTAGATACATCATTCTAAAGTATCTAAGTACACATCAAATCAGAAGAATAGGTTCAGTAACAAGATCATTAGTCCAGAATGAGAGCAGATTTAATTTCACTCAAGAAGGAAAACTCAAGACTACAGAGGCAAATTGAGTCATAAAAGAAAGACAAAGATATTGAAATTGAAAGTTTAAAGAAAGAACTTCTAAATCAGCAAAGATCAAGAGTAAAGGAAGTAGAAGAAGAAAACATGATCATTATAGAAGGCCTGAAGTAAGAATACGAGGACAGAATCTCAGAGATGAAACATCAATTCTAATAGTAGATGAAAATTTTACAAAGTCAATATGAGATTCAAGTTGCTGAAAAGGACAGGAAAATTGAAAAAAAGAGTAATAAACTATATAAGGTTCGTGATCAATATAACGAGAAAAGAATGGAATTCAACTAAGTAAGCAATCAGCTTGAAGCCTATAAAACAAAAATTGAGGAAATGACTTAATATTAGCTTCAATCAAACGATGATCAGCAATTGAGTAACCGTAGAAATAACTAAGGTTCCGTGGGAAATGTGTTTGCCTCGGCATATGAAAGCTCTAATGGAAGCAATAACTAAGATGAAGATAATGAAGATGATCCCTAGCTCATAAATAGCTAGCCGTTAGGTTACTTCACCTCCCGTGAATACCAAAATACAATGACAGATGGATTAAAGAGTGGTGATAGAGAGCCAACACCTTATCAGTCATTTGATAACTTTATTGATATCAAAAGACGTAATAACATTGGCATGAATGGATGCCTGACTTCTTCAAACTAAAATCAAGTGATGAACACTCATGAAAACCAAAATCTGAATATGAACTATTATTTTAGCTTGACTTAGTAAGAAGACTCCGCAATGAATTTTTCGTTCTCTGAGGTTAAGACATCTTTTGACAATAGAAGTGTGTTTATTGATAAGAATAATCTCAATCACAATACTAACGATACTCAAGGCAACAATCCCACAAGCAAGCAGTTCTTAGCCTTAGAGAAGATATCATAAGCAGATGAAGAGGAAAATGAAGACCTATTCAAGGAAAGTTTAGTGCTTGGAGCCAATAATGAACCAAATAATGTGCAGTATGAGAGTGAATCTGATTAATTAGAAGGTAGTTAGCCAAATTTATCTCAGACTATTTCAGAATTGTAAAACCATTCAAGACAAACAAGCTTAATGAATTCAAGAATACTTCAGGATCCTACAGATGATTAATTGCTTGAAAATTACGTAGAAGATCTGGAAGATGATAAAAAGTCTACAAGGACTAATGTGCTCAAAACAAATGTCATTTATAACATTGATGACGGCAGTGAAAATGCCCCTGAGGACTCAGGTTTCCTAAGTGATGAAGATTGCTAGCAAGAAAGGATAGTAAATGAGAGTAGCTTATATAATGATGATGAATTCACACAATCCTAAGCATTATTTACTGGTGGAGATGCAAATCTAATAGGTTTCTAAAACGAATAAATTAATGATGAAATGATGATTATGACTGGTAGAAGTGAAACAGCCATGGATGATGAGCAAGACTATGAAATTGAAGGTATCTCAAAGTGCAAAGCAATTCATTCATCCTACATAAATTTAAAGAGAAATAACCTGCTCATATCATATGGGAAGAAATGAAGGAGAAAATCAAAGTATTTATGAATAAAAATGTAATGATGGAAACATTAAATAATTGAAAGAGAGGTGGAATGAGGCAATGTTCTTTTTCCTCTTGCTTGTTTGTATATTAATATATCGATTAATAAACTATTAAAGTTAAATTATAAATCTGTGTAGTTAAGATTAGGTTAATTCTGAAAATGTTAAGAAAACCTTTAAACAAGTTATATGATCTTGATAGACCGCATAGTATATGTATAGTGCAAGATTTCAACTCAATTAGAGTTTGACAACTCATCTATAAATGCTCTAAAATCTTCGTTTCTAATTTCAATAATTGAGGTGTCGAATGCATCATGTTTTGCTTTTAGATTTTTACTCTCTACTATCTGTCTGAAGAAATCATTGAAGTTGCTATAAGAATTATATATTAAGTGGCAATTTACTTTCTTCCGTAGTCAACTTCAATTGACTGTCCAAGTACTGCACAAATCATTGTAGTGCCTTTCTTTGAGTTCCTAACTGATATGATCAAAGGCTTTTCTTTAGAGTTTAATTTGATGGCCTATAAGGAATAAATAATTATTCAAGTTCTTACCTTGTAAGTTTCCATAAGGAATAGAGCTAGTTTTTAAAGTGCTAAAGGATATTAGAATAGCTCAACATCCTTCAAGTAATCGTTATCAATCATCACATATCTGAATCTATTAGCAATCTTAATCTGTTTCTTGTCAATGATGGAAGTTCCCACGTGGATAATGGCCTTTTGGATATCCTTCGCTAGGTCTATACCTTTCTCAAGGAGGTTCTTTCTATTCTTGTCTAGAGCATCTAAGGCAACATAGAAGTTGTCATATTTACACTGCTAGATATATTCAAGATGCTCTCTTTGTTCTATTTCTTTCATTAGAAGAGTGCTTTGATTCAGTGTTCCTTGAACTCTGTTTGAAAGTAAATTGCTAACATCACTATAGCTTTTACCTTCTTCAAATTTTACGAGGGAGGATTGGAATTATTTATTGGTAAGATTTCTTGGGCTTTCAAGAATACTAGTCAGAGCATAGGCCATATCTGTTGCAAGAATCTGAGTCTTTGAATCAAGTTGTAGCATGTAAGTCTTTTGCATAATGTTATCCAATGAGAAATCTAAAGAAGCATCTGAGATCCTTTGCTTGAGAGTATTTCTTACACCAGGTTCCATAAACCCATAACTTTATTTAGCTTCTTCAAGAGAAATGCCTACAGTAGCTAGGAATCTTCTCATTTGCTTCTGTCCTGGCTCCTTCCAAAGTGTCATTTTAGCAACTAGATAGTTAGAGTTGCACATACTTTCATATAAGCTCCAATGTCTGAGAAGCATTAGTCTAAGTTCAGTTTCCATACTAATAGTGCCTATTTCCTTGTTTCTTGACTGTAAAGAAATCATCTTAAAAAGATCTTGCTCTCTCTTTCTCGCCCCATTGTTGTTCTCATCATCATTTTAGTCGAAATCGTCTTCATTAATATCAATGTTGTAGATATTTGGGTTAAGTCTTTGGACTTCCTCATCACATAGGAGTTCATCTTCAGAGTAGTTGTAACTTGATTGCTTGTAGTGAATAATCAAGTCAGTCATTCCTACAATCCATAACCAAAGCATCTCTCTTGTCTCTCTATTAAGTGATTGACTCACTTAGTACATTAGATATGAGCAGCATTTATAGTAAAATTGCCCATTATAGTAATTTCTGAACTTCATTCTCTTTTGACGCTTCAGCTTTCTCCTATCTTGAATCTGTTCTTTTTCGTCTCTTTGTCTTTTCTACCCAACCTTAACTTCATGCATTTCTTCATCTCCACCATCAACTACTTCTGCTTCTTCATCCTCATCTTTTCTCTTTTCTACTCTTTCTCCATACACATCTTCATCTGATTCAGCAGCTTCCTCGTTTTCAGAGTCCTTTAAATTTTCCAATTCTTCTTTTACCTCCTCATCTTCGGAGTCTTCATCCTCTTCTTCATCTTCATCTGAATCAGAGTCTTCGTTTTACAGTTACTGATAAATCATCTGATCTTCTTGAGTTGGGAACTCATCGAATGATTTGCAACCGTCGTGAATTATGTACACCTAAATGTTATGAAATATACCAAGGTTAATTTACCTTCTTTAGTGGGTCAATTAAAGTGAAGTGATTGAAAGGTCTGTGAGAGTCGAAAATAAAAAGCTAAACTTTGCTTGTTGGCTTGTAATACCAAAAAGTAGTATGGTTTAAGATTCCACCACAATTAATAAATAATACACTACGAATCTATATACAGAGTTTATTTCAATGATAGTATTACATTCTTGTTTTATTCTAAGTTTACTATCTCTTCTCTGAGATGTGAATTTGAGAATACTGGAGTTTAGATGTATTGCATCTCATCTGATTTCAACAGAGCCTATATTTATTGTTATAATTTGCATTGATATTTTACGGTAACAATCTTTAGTGCGCAAATCGAATCAGTTTCGTTTGAAACAAATATCTAAACAGTATTCGCTCCCTTTAAGTCTGAGTCTAAGGCGTTCTTAAGTATCTGTTCGTAGAAATATCTGAGTTTATCAAGAGGTATTAACATTTCAAATTAATGCGCGAGTCAATAAATTATTTAAAATTATATTTCTTTTTTTATTGATTAAGTTAACAACAGAGAATTATTAAAATATTAATTACCTCAAACATGAAAAAGTAATCTGAAGCTGAAAGAGAGCTTGAAAGACTCTATGGTCCTTAAGATTATGAGAAACTGACATCCTATGAACGTTTAAAGCTATCGCTAGTGCAGAACTAATATAAAAAAGAGACATTGCTTTACAGGATATTCTTTGATAAGATGCACAGACCTGAAAGATTCAATACAATTATGAATTAAATGGATGAATTCAATAATATCAATGAGTTTAGAACATTTGTTATGCAAAAGCACCAAAGTTTCCCTTTGAAATATATATAGAAATTCTAGGTCCTGCCTAGACTATGGCAAAATTCAAGCAATAATGAAGATCCAAAGAGATAATTAATTAAGGAAGTTTAGAGTGGGGATGTTTTTGTTGAGAATGTAGAAGAGGGTGAAAAGAGAGGTGGTAACATACTAATGGAGAAAAAGTATATGAATCTCTATAATTCTGTATATAAGCTAGAGCTTTTCCTCTATCTTCTTGTTGGAAATTTATTTGCCTACATGGCCATTGGACTCTACACTAAGACATTTAACAGAAATTTTATGATGGGCTTGCTAATACCTGGAATGATGGCAAATGCTGGATGTATGTACATTAGGCTAGTAAAATAAAAGGAATATGAAATGGTAATGGGACCTCATTATGCGCAAGAACTTATGAGATATAGAAAATTCTTTATTGATGAAGGATATGATTGAAACTGAAAAATGGTACTCTTTTTTATAAGTTTTATTTAAATTCATTTCTTTAAATCCCCAAAATCAAAGCTATTTTAGTAAAAAGGGGTTTTGGGGTTTTGGGGTTTTGGGGTTTTGGGG